GGAGCAGGGCAATGCGGGTTTTGTTTGCATCCAAGAGCGATGCAGGGCTGTAACGGCCACGGCACGGCACACCGCAACGCAGAAACGCTGAGGGCTTTCTCGACTCTCGTAATTACAGACCAGGCGCGCTCTGGGCCCTGCAGAGTCAGAACAGCCTCAGGAGCAGCGTGGCTTCAGCCCAGCCTCTGCCTTTCCCTGGCCTCGGGAGCAAGTGGAGCTAGTGGGCATTAGCACCAACTTACCCGCCATGTGCTCCTTCCACCAGCACTGGAGCTTGTAGGAGGCAGCGACAAGGCTGCGTGTCAACCAGAATCCCAAGGGGAATTCTGGGGCTGGGCACGGTGTATGTTCCTGCGGGTGAAGGCATGATTTCGTACCTGTCCCGAGCGAGGAAAGTCTCACCATAGGCAGGAAGAGTGTTGAAATACTGAGGAAAAACCCACACCGCGGACCCAGCGAATGTTGTCATTGTTCCCCCACCTTACCCCCAGGGATCTGCTGGAAATAGAGGGGAAGCAAAGAAGGGGATAGGACCTTGTGCCAGAGGTAAAAACAGTCCCTGGTTCCTGCTCCTCAGAGCTCTCCTTCCCACCACCAGCCCACCAACCTCTGTACTTACGGCTCCAGAGCCAGCCGCATCCACCACGCTTCCCGCTGCTTTTCAAACCTATTTATGATGGTTGATCTGCAAAGCCCCAGAGCGGACGCTCATGAATAAACGTTACTGAGCATTTACCTCCTCCTCGCTCCAGGGTTAGAAACTCTCCGATTTTGCTGTGCTACCGCTGCCGAAGAGGCACGGGGCCTTTGGGAAGCCACAGCGTTCCTGGGATGCACAGGCAGGGCAAACGCCTGCCAGGCCGGCGGCAGCAGGAACGACTGACACAAACATCGACGTGCAAGAAAGCTCCCCCAGGTCTGAGTCCGGCTGAGCAACAGACAAGGCACTTCTGTTAAAGACCGTGGTAGTGCAAGGGGAAAAAAAAAAAAAGACAAAAAAAAAAAGACAAAAAAAAGACTGATGCTATTGTACCCAGATTTCTATCAGTGGATTTCGGCCGACGCCAAGCATTTACCACCCTCGCTTCCTGCTCGCCACCCTCACTTTCTTGGAGGAAAACATGCATTTTAAATGTTTATTTAGAGCCATAAGAATTTCAACAAATTGTATTTAAATACAAATAAATATCAAAGTATGCTTCTGATGGGAACACAACCACATACCTGACTTGAGTCTAAGTATTTTCTAAATTCCTAATAGAAATAGAATTCATCGCTGTTCTAAATAACAGAGATACAGATCCAGAGGACTACAAACGTTAGACCACACAAGAACAAAACACAGGCTGTTCACAGCAGAACGTAAACGGGTGTTATTGACATTCACAGCGGTACAAACTCCCAATGACACTACTTTACTCAGGTACCCAAAAAACTAGAAAGCAAATATTAACAGCACGAGACCTAGTTTTGAACAATTCAGGCTTTTAACAATCCATCCATCATTGACATGCACAGCTCCATTCCAGATGCTGGGTTCGGAAGCAGGAAGCGTGCTCTGCCTGGAGGTAGGTGCGCTGCTGTAGGAATACCAACCCTACTTTGCTATGCCAGTGAGCAACACCTGCGTACAGAAACCAGGGGCTGTTTTAGAATTATTTTTTCCCTCTTGTTTGAGACCACTGTTAATCAGCTTGGGGAAGCAACTCAAGAGTGACCGATGAGATAAAGATTCACCACTGACAGGACTAGAAGAGCAGACATTGGCAAAATCAGACCGGTATCTCCTGGACCCGAGCAGATACCTCCTCCAATACCCCCCTTGCACACGCAGTCACAGCACTGTGTGCGCTAAGGAGAAAATGCTGCCAGAAAATGTTGGGTTTTTTTCTTTTTTTAACTCAAACTTCTATTTTGCAGATAACATTTAGGTAGAAAAATGTGCTGCAGATCAAACTGTTTAAGTGAAATGCTATCTATCAGACTTGCAAATTAAGCACCTGGTGCAGGTAATCCTCAGCACACAGCAGAACCATTTTGCCACAGACACTTGTGCCACTTTACACCAAGCAGTAACCAACCACCTTCACCAGCCAGTGAAAAGCAGAAGTCGGACTGGTTGGTGGGCAAACGCTGAGGTCATGTGCTTGACAGATGTCTCGGAGGCTGCGGCGTTATTCTCACGCTGTCACATCTGGTTTATGAAGAGCTACCACTGAAAAGGGGGATTACCGAACGCAAACATTAGATGTGCCACTGCCGCGCTCTGAAGCTGAGGGCGCAGCGCAGACCTCAGTGGTGTGTAAATACACTTAATTCCTACATGGAGGCACATACCTACAGCCTAAATGACACTGAAAATACCCATGCTGTGTCATTATCTTAAGGTTATCACATCATAAAGTAATACCTTAAAGTCTGCAAATTGAAAGGCAAAATAAATTTGCTTTGGTGCATATAAAATATTGCATGCACAGTTACTAAAAGTGTTGCAAAAATCTATTTAAAATGAGTTTTATTGAGATGAAAAAGTTTTCCATGGTAACTACAGAATGTTAATCAAAACCAAGTGCTTCCCCTCCATTAAAAACACGAATCGGAATGCTTTTTGTTCAAAAATACTTTAAAAAGTAATCAGTTAAATGGAGTATTTTTGGATGTGCTTTACTCCATACATTGGTTACGGTTTCTAATCTTGCTAATGAATGCACACTAACGAGAGGTTGTCTGCGTGTTCATCAGAGGCTTTGAAGGGAACCTACTTCTCTGAACAGCGTTCAGCTGTGAAGCCGCACTGGCAGTAAGGAGTGTTCAGCAGACCGCCTAAGGTGCTACAAAACACCGTGCCATGTACAGCGGTGCTGTGCTCAGGTGGCAGTATCCTTCTCACTCTACAAAGTACAAAAGCATTGGAGGACTCCAGGTATACAAAGCAGTGTTTCTTGCTACCATTATCCATTCATAAGCATCATCTTCTAGATTTCCAGGCAGCTCTGGAATAAGGAGTAGTCCTTTTCTTATCCGGTGGTTTGAAGTAAGAATAAACAGGTGCTGCAGGGTATTCTGCATCTGGGTTTTCTGCCATCATTTTCAGCTTGGCTTCAATGGCCTTTATTTTTGCACTGACACTGGAAAGAGGAAAAGCAGAAGAGAAATTGAGCTCGATCTTAGGATGGAATCAGACTACAGTAATCCAGAGATTTTGTTGGCATGCGAATATTGAGTGACACGGGGAGGGGCTAGGCAGCCCCCATCGCTGCATTCACAAGCAGCGTGAAGTTGGGAGGCAGGAATCTACTGCTTAAAGCTCACGCTATTTCATTTCAATCCTCAGCATGGATTTGCTCCTCCAAGATATAGCACAGCACCACAAAACAATGGTCCTTGCACCTACTCAGCACTTTCCTGAGGACACTGAACGAGACAAGTACACAACAAGGCTCCCTACTTCATGTAAAATGATGTCATTTAAAGAGGTCTGAGCATGTGCAGCAGAGCGCAGCTCAGACAAGGCTGCTGGAAACAGCAGAGAAATGAAAGCCAGACTTCCTCCCAGCTACAAGACCGCTTGGGATGGGAAAACCCCAGACTAATTCGGTCAGGAAGAAACATTATTTCAGCATTAGCAGGGTTTATCCCAAAGGGAGAAGCTGTCCTAGGTTACACCCCAAATTCCTAGGACTTTTATTATTCGCTATCCTCCACTGCGTATGGACCGAGAAATGTTCCCTTCTCTGCTGTGGCTTCTCGCAGCATCCATCCTCACTAAAACAACTCCTTTGCGCCACTGATGTAGCTTACAATCTGCATGACTCAAGTCTCTCTGCTCATTACTTCCTCGCGTGTTACTTCTGAATTCCAGGCTCATTTTATTTGTAGGCAAATTCATTATCCCCAGTGTCCTGGTTCCTTATAGGGTTCCACTGACAGAACACAGAGGAAAATCACATACCCTTTCAACCAAACTGTGAAACAGCAAAGCAGCACTACACGCTTTAGGTAAACGGAGGGGCTGGAGAACTTAACCACATCTCACAGAGAAGACCTATCAGCCCTAACGCTGGGTAAAAAAAAAAAAAAAAAAAAAGTTTTACATGAAGTACTACCTGTGATTTTGCTACACATTCCCAATTCCTCTCCTCACCTCTTTTCCTTCCTACTGCCCTAGTAGCTTCACACACTAGAAAATTAACTTCAAGTCTAAAGTTTCCCACATCAAATGAGTTACTTGGCAGCATGCTGTCCTTCTGAAAACAGCTTTTCCGCCACATTAGATTTTTAGCACAATCATAATGCCACCAACTCTAGATGTTACTGAAATTGAAGAGGTTCGTTCTCTGCCACACGCACAGTTTGGTCACCTCTCACCCACCCCATCTCCTACCTGAGGTTAGACTGGGGCGGCTCCGTGCTGGAAGATGGCTCCAGACTGATTGGAAGGATCTTCTCATTTTTATTGTGATCATACCTCTGCGAACAAGAGACCAAGGATTGAAGTCAGCTGGAATTACGAACAAAGAAACATTTGCCCAGATACGCTTTAAAGTTGGATTAATATCACCTCAGATTTTGTGAAGCTTTAGCTAGGAATGATTTTGGTGGCCAAACACTGAAACAAATCCCAACCATATTATTTATTTAGTACCGACATGGAACACGCTGAACATGATACCGAACACTTACGTGCATTGTACTATGGATCCTTAAACCATATCCTGTCTTACCACTTCTTGTTCCCCTCTGCGTGAGGCATGAAGCAAAGAAGGTAAATTTTAAGGTAACTACTGTACTGCATTGCTATGCTCTCAGTTAGGAACCACCTCCTTTCTGTAGAAAGCAGCTTGTGAGTCTGTCATCTCTGTGGGCAATGGGCCTCCTGAACTATTCACTGCGTTCTGCTTCCTTATTTCGCTTGGCACAAAGTCAGGTTTGTTTTTCAGCAGAGCTGCTCAAATGAACAGTGTCTGGTAAGCCTTGGCCACTCGTCTTAAAACCACTTAGCATGGTGCTGGTATTGTCTAAAATAAACACTTGTTATAATAAGCCAAAGTTTTGTGTTGTTAAATCTTTCCATTCACGGATTAGAAAAATGCCACGCAAACTGAACTGATTATTTATGCATGTTCTTCACCATACCCTGGACAGCCAAGCACTGAACTACCCCGCTGAACTCCCAGCGGAGCGGACACTTACTCCTCTGGCTGAAACTCCTTTTATGGCCTGATCACTCCTCAGGCATCCGGAAGCACGTGGTGCTCTAGTAGCTACAGAGCTAAAGAAAATGGAGACTGGATCTGCACAAGCTTGGATGTGCTGACAAAAGCCTGGAGCCCTTGAAGCTGATAATTAGAACAACATGGTCTCCTTTAACAAAGATACCTGTTTTGGTTTTTTTGCATTCAAAACAGATGCACTAGTATACCTGATAAGAGAAAGTGTAGAAAGGTGCTTGTAGGATAATCAACACACACTAAAAGCAAACTACCCAAAGAAAAACAGCAAGAAGCAGTTCCCGCCCCCCCTAACTCCCCCAAAATCCATTCATCTGCGAGGAAAATGATTCAAAATAAAGTGCTTTATCAAATACCAGATAGTAAATAACTGCAAGAGAAATAAGGCAAGAATTTAAAAGAATTAAAACAAGGATCTTCCAGAAAGTACTGCCCAAGTTAATATTAAAGACTTGATGTGTTATGTGACAGAGCAAGCAATAAAAGGATATTTAGCTTAGATGTGAAATATGTTGCGTTAAAGTCACAAGTAATTAGAGCTGCTGCCACATAAGTGCTTTCAGAAGCAGAACAAAGTGCTTGGTAATTGGGAATTTCCATGCTTCTCCTATCCAAAAAGGGAGCAAAACCACAAAGGGAAGGATTCAAACTTTCAGCCAGTCACTCACTAAGTTCTGGAAAAGTTAAAACGTGGACATTTATAGAAGTAATCTGTTCACCCTGCTCTGATCAGAAACTCCCTTACAAAGAATGCCAGGTTAAATGGCCTGTTCCTGCTCACAGCTAATCCAGCACAGTTTGGGTAGGCAAGAGAAGTGGTAGATTGTTAATACCGTTTCTATGAGAGTTATTTCCTAGAATAGACTGAAATTACCTTGCCAGGCTAAGACACCCTTGATAAGAATTGCTGCTTACCATTAAAGTTTTTCGATTTTGCAAATTAAAAGCAATTCTTATTTACAACAAGCAGCTTACCTTGACTTGTGCATGTGCCCACCGCACCACTAATTTCTTGGAAAGGGCCAGCTTCCCATTGAGACATTGGATCGCCTTTTCTGCTTCCTGCACAGGAAGACAGTTCAATAAACAAACCAAGTCTTTAGTCAAAACCGACTCGGATGCGAAGAGCCTTTTTTCTCTGTTAATCAGCTTTCTGTAACTGACAGCAAAGAAAGTTTATCCCATTGTATCCCAATCCAGGAATACCTTTGGAAGACTCCAACATCTGAGTAACCAGACTTTTATCAGCCTTATTGGTTTGTTCTTTCATTTTGGGGAGAGGAAGTGGGGAAAACGATCAAGAGTTTTGAAAATACGAAACATACAGGCCACTGGAACAGCATTCTGAAGGAGGTTTATGCTACAGAAGTTTCTCTAGAAAACACTGTGATGCATTACAGTGATGACATGTGTCTCGTTAACACCTATCTATGCTTACTCCAGATCCTGCTCGTGCACACTGCGGACATTATCCACTTGGTCCTCTTCTAGGCTCAGCAGTGGAATCTCTGTTTTGGGACACTCCCATAAAACTTGATTCACAGCAGTTGAAGATTTATGTTGCAATGCTGTTCCACCTTGCTATGAATAATTTTCTAGAGCTAACACACTGTGTCAGGGCTCTTCTGACATCCGAGCCGGCAATCGCACAGCAGAAAGATGAGCTCATACAACCACAAGCAATCTCCAAACACTCTGTTCTTCCTAACTTTTGAACAATTCCAGCAGAATTATGACAAAATAACTACAACTCTGATGCTGCATGTGAGCGTGACTTGAAATTTTGATTTGTAACAAGAGCTAAAACCCCAAATGGACAGCCAGGGACAGTTCACTCCAGGATGCTGCAGATATGTCAGGCTGTACATGTGGCAGCATCACAGAAGTTGGCATTTGTGAAGCCAAAAGAAAAACCAGAAGGACTTCAGAGCAGTTCTGGATTTCAGGCGGTCTGGCAGGCTGATCCAAGGCTCTGCATGGATTACAGCACCTCCACGGTACAACTCCATGAGCTCACTATAAAAGCGGACCAAAGAACTGGCACTTTCTGATTAGCACTAAAAAGTAGGATTCAGGAAAAGACAGCAGAGGAGAAAGGAAATCACTATTGCTACTTCCAGGAGCAGTCACAACATAGCTGTCACAGAATGGGGCTGTTAGAGTCTGTGGGTTTGTGTAGACAAGGTATTTGATTTATTCCTTCCTGTTTTAGCTTTACATTAACATAAAAAAAGACGGGGAAAGAAGTCAGTCATTTAAATCAGAATTTTAGATACAAGCAACATACCTGTTTTGTTTCAAAGTTCACAAAACAGTAACCCCTCGGCTGCCCCTCCAGAGCACCAGACTTGTGAAAGAGGAAGTCAAATTGCTTTACTTTGCCAAACTTCTGAAGGAGTTTGAGAAGGTGGTATCTGAAGGGGAGAGAAGACATTTATGACACCTTTCACCGCTTTGAAAGTGAGGAGATAGAGAGGAACCCCCCTGACATGCACACATTTCACACTGGCTAACGTAAGCAGTTCAGTTGTGTCATGCACGTATTCCCAAACACCCACAGAGGTGGGCACCCTGTACAGCAGCCTTTCAGCATCCGTGGCTCTGAGCCACGTTATCAGCAACTGCTCTAAAACCCCAGATTACAAAGCTTCCCTCCCAGCGGTGCCAGCTGCAGGGTATGCAGAAGATCTATTAATAGTTGGCTTTTGGACAATTATACAATAGCTCCCTAGGGGTCTGGGAGGGCTTTGCCTCCTGCCTCTCTAAATCACACTTACTTTCAAGCATAAATGTCACATCTCCCCCTCCCTAGCCCTGATGTGACCGCCTGAAGCTCCATTCCTTGTATTCCTCTCCCTGCACAAGCCGTCCCAGCCAAAGTCCAGAGCACCCAGCGTCACTCAGGACCCCCGCTACTCTTGCTGCCCTCCCTCTCCCCCATCCTCTCCCTGTTCCAAGCAGTGTCAGTGTGCTGACAAGGACATGACCGGGTCATACAGAAATGCAGCCACTCTCCCATTCGCCTGGCAGAGCTGGGGAAGCAGGAAGAGAGAAGAATAAGCAGAAGAAACTGCAACCAGGAATTGACAGTAGACCAGGCAAAAAAAGGCACTAGACAGACCTCAGTATCATTCAGGCCAAATCTTCCAGCGCTTCTGGCTCAGACAGCTTTTCAGCGACATGCACATGAAAGTCAGACACTTACTTAGCCAATTATCTTCCTGCCATCCAGTGGGGAGTGTGCTGTTTCCAATAAAACTGGGAAAAGCCAGAGTAAATCTGTCTGCTTAGTATCTAGTGCACTGAGCAACTTAAAATAAGGAGCACATTTGTTGCACAGGCCACATCTAATCCTGAAAGTTCTTTGCAGCTTTTTTTGGTACCCTAGGATCAAAGTGTTTAACAACACTAGCTGACCTAGAAGGAAAATGATACCTGTGACTATTTCACTGCCTGACCCCATCCCCAGCATTTAAGAATTGTCTAAGGGTATCTTAGTCAGGACTCATCTTCTCCTGATCAGCTGTACAACGTCTGATAGCGATCCACATAGTCTAAGTCAAATTTTCAGCTTGCAAGACAACACTGGGCACTTTGAAAGTCTCCAGGATAACTTAAAGTGCATATGGAGCACCAGGCACTGGATGAAACCTTGCATGTCCAGACACGAATGGTCAGCAGTGGCCCAAGACAGGCAACTTTAGGGACAGTCCAAATAGGAAGGGCAGACAACATTTTTCCTAATAAAGCCTGGTAGGATGTTTGAAAAGGGCTTTAGCCTTTTGTTAAGCTTCAGGAGACAGGCAAGAAAGTTCCAGGAATGTGAGTCATCTCACAGGACGGGTCACAGTGGACATTCAGGATATGCAGAGGCGAAGGTGCAGCAAGTGTACAGACAAGCAGTGCAGAAGGGCCAAGTTATCTCCCAGGGGAATAAACACATTGCAATCGATTATGAAAGGCTTCCTAAGACGAAGCACATGGTCTTCCAAGAGGCCTAGGAACCCTCAGTCTCTGCTCAGAAGAGAAGGGAGAGAGAAAGGCAAGAGCAGGAAGAAAACCAAAAGGAGCTGGTTACACAGTAGCCAAGTTTTACCGCTGCACCTCAAACTACCAACAAGCAGTCACAGATACACAAGTAAAACCACTAACTTTAGAAGACATGGGGTGTACATAAACCCCCACAGGTTGAATCTTCAGGGCCTTCAAAAATGTGTAAACGTACCTCAGGTTTGTTTCTGTAAACATATTGCTACAATAAGCACCTGTAATTTCAGCTGTATGAAAATAAAGTCCTTGCTACTAGAATGCAATTCCCCTTACAGAGGCAGTGGAAGGGCAACGACGACCCTCACTGCATTCTGTTTAGCAACAACAAAACCCTGCAGCTGCCTTGCTAAAAGGAACGCTCTGTGGGTGTTTTCCTGAGAACCTCTGCATTCAAATAATACTTTCTTAGCAGCAGCGGTAGTTGTTCCTTTAAAAAAAAATTAATTAAGAGTCCAGAAACAATCTACATAATCTATTTTATTTAAAATCTTTAGATCGTAGATGATGCAAATGCTATTTTCCAACCACATATGCAATTTTTACAACTGCAGGTCACCTACTCTCCACAGAACAGCTCAGAATTGAAGCCTTGTATAACTAAAAGTTTCAGGCTGTGATTATGGTTTGTTATTGTTAATACAGTGAGGGCATTAACAGTAACTTGACAAGTAGTTCTCCAAGCCAAGAGGACTTCAGTACTGAAGACAGACTCATCACGAAAAACCCAAAGGATTAAAAAAAAGAAGTGAGAACATGCAAAGAGCTTTACTATGGCAACAACTTGGGTTATCCAGAGCTTGGAAGTTATTCGCACAGATGTGGCCCCACCGTGCTGTGCAGATCACCGCAGCCAACCTCAATTTCCACTTCCTGTCATCTGATGTGAATGCGAGACAAACCAGCAGCTCCCCCATTTCCTTTTCCTCCACTCTTCCTCCTGGCACCCCGAGCGCTATTCAAACACAGGCAAGGCTTCCTCTGAACAATGCTGTCCCAAGGATACTGCAAAGGTACCGGGCCACATGCGAAACCTATTATTGCGAAGAATTTTGCCCCACTGGGAGTCAGCAGGAGTCTGTAACAACAACTTATGCACACATTGTTTTCTAGGTGAGACTCATCAAGATGGGATCCTAGACAAGCAGCAGAACAGCCAAGGAAGTTGAACACCCGCTATTTCATACCCATGGAAAATGAATGGTCATTCAAAGGCTACTGGAAACTAGATAACATGTGTGTGTAACTGTAGAGCTGGAAATGAAATTTTTGCCTGTCCAAAACGTTGAAAAGTCTCAAAAGGCTTTACAAACAGGAATGGGAGAGGAGGCAGTCCTATTCGGTTTGCCGCATGGGAGACGTAACCAAAGTATGGGTTTTCCCCCCACAGGACGGGAGCACTGAGAGGTGATGTGAACAAACAGTTATGCCACAGCACATCTCCCACCCTACCGTGCAGCTGGGGGACACATGCTGCACCAGGCAATGCTCACGGTGATGGTGAGAGGACTCCACGGCTCCTTTGCTCAGTCATACCAAACCCAGAACTGATCATCCGCTGCAATCCTCATGCACTGCTGTGGCAGGCCCCACAGCAGGCATCATTCAGCATCAGAAGTGCCTGGAGACAGCGTCCTATGTCAAGAACAGCTGCGAGGTCCTATGGTTCCAGCTCGCCTCCTTCCAGCCGCTGAGAATACACTCAGTAGACTCCTAATACTATCTTCTTCCACCGGCAGAACAATCCTCTAAGGATGCCGGATAAAAGAAGAGAAGTCACCCAAACAAACCCTACTGGTAAGGAGGAATTCCCACCAGAAGACCCACCGTAACCCGGTACGTAGGGTACGTCAGCGTTCAAGATCCTTTGAGACTCCCCTTTCAGTCACAGTGACTCAGTATGTGCAATAACCTCCTGTAAGCCATCAACTTCCAGGCTGTAATTTGTGGGCAGCTCTACAGTTATACATTCCTATTAGTGCAGCTTGTGCTGAAATGTCTACGCTACCTATTAACTCCCTAGCGCTTGATTGCAGCTATAAGTTGCTCTCTAAATGGAAGTCTTGGATTAATTCAAGACTTTCTGAACTCATTTCTGCTTGAGAAAGTCACAACCACTTATTAACCCTGCTAACAACTCAATCAACTTTACTCTGTCTTAAACAAATCTAACATAGAAATTGCAGAGGCAACTCTTTAAAAATCAGATAGAAGCAGCAAACGAAGAAACAGCTATTTAGTTTTCAGGTATATATTCTTAGTCATGTGAATAGTAACCTCAACAGGGAGAATTCAGATGAGCAACTATAAGCAGAGATGCAAGCCCTTAGGGTAAGAAAGTAAGGGTCAAAGTGATTTATAGAAACTTACTGACCTGACATAGAACTGCATTCTTTCTCTCTACGCTGACAACGTGTTAAAAAGAACTTCCTGGGGTTCTTTTAATTCACAACTAAATGGAGATTACAATGTAGTTTGCAGGAGAGAATAGCCATTTTCAAAGCAAAACCAAAAGCAAGACACAGAATTATAAAGCCTGAAATAAGCAACAAGCACTGTCACTCCTTGCTGGGCAAGCTTTAAACGTTTAGTAGCACGGAAGCACTCTAGGTTTCATGACACTGGAGAGCAAAGCCCTTCGATCAGTCTCTTGCCCCCTTGCCCACAGCTGTGATGCTGCTCTGGACACAGTCCCCAGCAGTGAGGGTACCAGGGCAGCCGTCCCCTGCACGCAGACTGCTGCATTCATGCAGCTGCAATAGGTTACTTGAAAACGAATGGCCTGCCCATGAAAGAAGCCGACTGAAACCCACAAAACTCATTTCACCCAAGCTATGAAAACGGTAAATTTTGCCATATAAAGCTATTACTTGTCTGGCCTAGATTCAAAGGAACAACCTAGACTGAAAGGGTCTTTAAAAACACCACTAACGATCACCCCGGGAAGTGAAGGATCTAATGCATTCACAAACACCCACTATTCTTCCCCTCGCACTAACCCAGCTTCCTGAATCTTTAAGGACCCAGCAAACAACACGCTCAAGAACTCGTATATCTAATTTTACGTGGTCAGTGAATGTGGACAAACCAGAGTAACGTAGCTGTGGGATAAAAATGGTAATTAATGCAGAAACCACCCAAAGCTGAATGGCTGAAAAGCACAATGCATTAATGATTCCATTTAGAGGCTATTAGAAAACTGCTCTGCTAAGATGAACCACATTTAGAATAAGAACCTAGCACCTGCACACACACAAAAAAGACGCAGGAAGAAAAAGTATTCCACGACAGACATACACAATAGTTAATCAAAAATGCTTGTTTCTTAGAAGTATATAAACCCCAAATTGTTTTGGTGGTTTGTTTTTTTGGTTTTTTTGAATACGA